TGACCCCTAACAAACTCTAAACCCTCAAAACTAAAAAAAACAAGTGGAGGATATTTCAAAGGATACTTCATATCCAAGGTGGTTGCTGACACTCGTTCATGGTCTAATGGTTCAAGTTATTTGTTGGCCAATGTATTTGCTGACCCCTTGCAATTTTCAATATGATTATAGCATTCGATATATGTAATAATTCAAGTAGTTTATTCTATCTATCTAATGATTCACTAGTTTTTTGTTTTTAAATAAACTTACTAGTGTGGTACCCACCCCATGGGCGGGGAGTATAAACTTACCAATATATCATGTGAAACATTATTAGATCATCATTTTTTTGAAAAGTAAAAGGTAAAAGCCTAATTTGGGAGCTTAAACCCTACGTAAACACTAAACACAATACATAGATCATAAACCCTCCACTATAGCATTGAAATATGCTAATATAAGTGAGTAATGTTTATGATATTAGGTCAAATAAGTTGGTCTTATAAGTTGTGCCATAACTTCCTTTTCCTTTAACTTAAGCCGAGGCTCAGAGCGAGTCCTCAAGATCAAAGTTATACGAACTACCTTCAAAGAAAATCATCTTGTTTTTCTCCGCCTAATGCACCGCACTTCCAAATTCCACAGCTTTGCATAGAGAGATTTGACGAAAAATTAAAAGGATAACAAAATATGTGGAAGAGAGAGTGAGACAAAGATGCCAAGTCATCTTCTCTCATATCTGACATATTAGATTCAAACTTGAAAGCCACAAGGTACAGTAGATTCTTACCCAAGAACTTTTGCCGGCATCAAACTTTACTAAACTAAATAACATAACCTCGAAATGGTAGTACGGTGATGTACTTCTACACTCCAGATTAGTAACGCGCAAGATATATAAATATATACAAGCAAACAAACACTAAAGATGATCATTCTTCTATGTTACTAGTGTAATTCTCGCATGTAAGAAACAAAATTTGACGTCAGTTAGAGAAATGAGAAATATAATCTCAATCCCCGTTGACATTATTTTTTTCGCTGCTTCATTGAGATAAACACAGTGGTGGCTAACTTATTTTTAGTGGAGAGAACCACAAAAATATCACCAGATATACCAACGAAAGATCACCACACAAATTGTAGCAAGCGAATAAGTGAATCACTTACACCATCAACGATATGTATTGGCGATATTGTAATATTAACATATTAGTGTTTTGCCTTTTGCTCAATAAGTTCATCTTCTTCCGCTCACAACTTTGACATGGTATCAGAGCAATGTCTTACAACTCGATCCAAGTTATGATATTGTTTCTTTCTTTTCTATCGAACTCTTTGTTTCTTTTGTTCTGTGCGAACAAGATATATATCTTCTTGTCGCGTGTTTTGAATCTGGTCTTCAAGAAGAAGCGATTCAAGGTCTGTGTGTGTGCCGTAAGCTCTACTCTTTCGGCTTCTGATCATGGGTGATAATCCGATTGTTCTAACTAATACTTCTGCAAAAGAATCATCGTTTCTCTCAGAGTACTATCTTCATCCTTCGTCTGATCTAGAAAACTTGATTTCCATGGTATTGTTGAATGGAAGCAACTATGAGCGTTGGGCGAAACTTTTGCGCAACGCACTTCGAGCCATAACGTGTTATCTATCGGTTACGGAAGAACTCGTTCATCCGTTCTTCCATCT